GCATACTGTTGTATCTCCCCGGATATTAGGCCTTTTTGTCCAGTGTCAGTTTGTGCAGACCAGTTCTGACCTCTTCTTTCTCCCCAGCTCTCCCCATCTCCTCCTTGGACCCCCTCCCGGTGGTGGCGGGTCAGCTGTACGGCGTGGTGGCCTCCTGTCGAGCCGTGGGGCGCCCGCTCCCCGAGCTCTCCTGGGACACCGAGCTGCCGGGCAAGTCCCTGAGCCGCACCAGCGAAGGCGGAGCCGTGTCCATCCACTACTCCCTCCACCCGACGCGCAGCATGAACGGGAAGCAGCTGGACTGCCTGGTGTCTCACCCCGGCCTGGAGAAACAACGCAGGATCTCCAACAACCTGGTGGTCAAGTGTGAGTACAACGCAGCAGTACCGACGCGACAAACCGAACTTTCAGACACGCAGCGGTTCAGAAAACAAAAACGAGGTGTAAAACGTCTCGACTGCAGTCGGAGAGCCAGTGGAGGAGACCAGAGCCTTAGATGTTGGTGTGAAGGCTTTTATCTGGGAAAAAGGGAAAACGTACCGTTTTAATGCTGCAGCTTCTGCTCATTCTAGACTTTATGCTGCATTTACACTGTAACTAAGAATCTTTATTCATTTACTGACAAAAATACAAAGAGAATAAAATATACTCTCCAAATGTCAAACTGCTCCCGAGAAAAGTTTGCCTCATTTCAAGCTGCAGACATTAAACACAACCAGTCTTTCTGCTGTAATCTTTTGACCTTTGACCTTTTTGTAATCGTTTTAATCTTATTGAAAGACTTGAGTTTTTGTTGGTTTGGGTTCATACATCTGAATCATTCAGGTGTAAAACAGCTCCTACACTCAAAGGATGAACCGGTTTTGTGTCAAAACCCAACAGATAATTTGGCCCAAAAAAAAATAATAAAAATTTAACGGTGTCTTCAGGCTGTTTGTGGCGTTTCGTCTCAAAGGCACAGTTTTTTTTTTTAAAAACTGTTGTAAAATATAAAAACTGAAAATTCCTCACACGGATGATCAGATGAAGAATGATGCACGTCTAAAGGGATGTTTCAGGCAGTGGTTAATTTGAGCCGAATCCTGCCGGAACAAGATCTGGGAACTCTCTCATTTTGACCCGTTGTGTTCCAGCAACTCTTTGTTCGGATCTGGCAACCCCGCCCCTAACAGTCCAAAGTCATCGCACGTTTTTATTTTGATTATTCATTAAAAATACAACGAGAGAAGATGTTGCCTTTAGCCCAGCGGACCCAGTCTGTGGAGTGGATGTTCCAGCTGCAGCACGAGCGGCGAACCAGCTGCTCACACGCTCCAGATGGTCACATTTATGCACGGAGGTTCTGCGCGGAGTCCTTCTCTCCTCCTCCTCCAAATATTGTCCCTAGCACGTTTTGCACGTAGCTGTCGAATGTGTTGGCTGAGGCAGTGTGAAATAGTTCCAGGTGGCTGATCATTTCGCTCGCTCCATTTTGAAAACAATCTGTGCGGTGAGTTAGCTAGCACATGACGTCACTCGGAGCACAAAGCATAGAAATAGAGTGAATAGATCTGCCCAGTCATGGATCGGTCACTTTGTCACCGATACCCGATCCAGAAGTTTTTTTCGATGTCGGGACTGATACCGATATTGGTATCGGATCGTGCATCTCGAGTTAAAATACACTAAAATGCAGGAAATGGCATCTCTGTTATTCAAAATGTTCTGTGAGAGGACCCACGGACCCCCCCGGCCCCCCCCCCCCCCGGCCTGCCCGCTGTTCCGGCATCAATCAGTTTACAAATTAAGCCCTGGTTTCCGGTCTTTGTTTCTATTTATGAAAGACGCGACTTTCAGGTACTGTTCCTCTCCTGTACGCATTTTATTTGAAATGTCTTATTTGGTCCCGTACTTGTCCACTTTTCTCATTTTTCAGCACACCTGACGATCTGCAGCTACGATCAGTTATAAAGACAGGAAACGAGTGGGAAAACCTCCAAAATCTGAAAGGAATTCCTTCAGAAAGTTTAACTAAAGATTGATTAAAAACCACTTTAAAAGAATACAAAAATATCTGGATGCTCTGAAGCAAAATGTAAATTAAAGCCCTAGCTTTCTCTTTCCACCCATCAGATTAAGACTAAATTCATTATGAAGTTGTAGCCATTTCGAATAATCCTGAGCTACAACGTTAAAATATTGCTCACTTTCTGTAAAACTGCCTGAGTTATTGTCATTTTTGTGTTTATGAGCTGCGGCGGCCATCTTAAATTGGGCATTTCCTCCAAATATTGTCTGTGACTCCACTCCTCCTGTCCCTCGTCTTTCAAATGATAACATCTATTTATTTATATATTTATTAGACGAGCTCTGAGCTGAAACACCTCAAGGAAGTGAGTCACTCCAGCTTCGCCCACGGGTTTCCCGTTAACGCGTCCACATGCTGGCAGTAAAATAACGACAAGTTCTGGTTAAATCAACTGAAGACGAAACCCAGATAATGAACTTCAGCCTTCACGTTAAAGTCGAACCCTGCGTTGTAACTGGAGGCGCACTCGGAGAGCTCACGTGAAGCCCGAGCTCGGGTTTAAAGTAATCTCTGTCAGCGCCGGAAAGTAACGTGTTCTTCCTCCACCGGCGCTCTCACGCCATCAGCGAGGAATCATCACAAAGAATGACTCGCTTATTGTTCGCTGGCGATGGGCCAGCTTTGTCGAGGACTTCCTGTTCACAGTGAACTTGACACGTTCTCTTTTCTCATAATATTTGTTTGTCCTTGCTGAATTTCTGTGGAAGATAAAGGGTGAGGGTCGAACAAACATCAGTGACAGATTGGATCCTGAGCAGTTTCACACTCGGGCCTGGGCTCTTTCTGTGTTACAGGCTCGGGCTTTAGTTCCGTTTACGACTCGGATCATCTTATGCTGACAGACGATGAAGTTCTAGACATTTAGATGAAGCCTCTGAAGTAACGTTATGCACAGCCTCATGCACGATTGCAACATGTGCTCAGCCTTGCGTTTCATGTTGGTGTCGTTCACACCGAATTTAAGCTCCGTATCTGTGAAACTGACTGTACAGCCATTTTTGTGTAGGTTCAACTAGATATGGCAGCCATCTTGAATCCGGTTGAGCCAGAGATTCGTCCAATGATTACGTTTTTAAAGTTTCATTCGCACCAATCAAGTTGCCAGTAAGATATTTTGCTTACAGAATTTTAAACACTGGTCATTTAGCACTCAGAGTACAAGTTGGGGATTAGTATCAGCTACTACCACAGCAAACTTTACCAAAAATATTTACAAAAATGGCTGGATTTGAGACTTTTTGTGTTTGCAAAGTTTTCTTGGTTGTGGCAGCCATCTTGAATTGGGTTGACTTTAATATTTGATCACTTGCAGCAGTTCATCCAATACTTTCTGAAGGTTTCATTAAAATCCATCCAGAGGTTTACGAGATATTTTGCTAACTGTACAAACACGGACCGTTATTTACCCATCGTGGCTTAACTTTCAGCATCAGAAGATAAAAAGCCTTTAATTAAATAAAATTATTCTGAAGAGGTCTAAAAGATAAAAATATGTTTTTGTTTTTTTTTTTTAAAGAACCTTGAGTCATTTAGATAAAAGGATGACTGGCATTGATACAAATGGTGTCACTGGAGTTATACCAAAACTGTTTTCATTTATGGATAAAAAAAATGTAATGCATACAATAAAAAATGTTTTAGTGTTAATTGTAAGATATGGATTAAAGTGCAGTAAAATCTGATGACAACTAATTATATCTGAGAGTTCAAAGCAAGTGTTCCGCAGTAGAGTTGCATTCGGGCCCAAAAAGTCCGACCCGACCCGTAGCCATAATTTCTGAACCCGACTCGACGAATTAACAGTAATTACAGGTCCGAACCCG